GGGGGGGGGGGGGGCGGTGGCACAAACAGGGAAGACGGAAAGCAGGACCTGAAGGCAGCAGCTTCTCCCGCCTCGAGAATTGCAAAGGGAGGAGCAAGACCTCTCCCGTGCACTTCTTCTGCAACGCTTCAAAGATTAAAACGATTTGGCGCGCCGTTTGCTCCAGCTAAAGGTTAAACAGAGTCCTTTACAGGGCAGGACGTTACCAACAGCACACAGTAATCCTCCAAGTGTTTACCCAGAAATCAGTCACACCCCAGTTTCCAACTTTTCGGCTGTTGTCGTAAACACACCTCCTAGGCACCGTTTCCACTGAATGCCACGGAAGCGCACAACCAGGGGTGTGCAACGCTTTTTACCCCCAAAGCAGGCCCAGAAAAGAGGCCAGGCCGGGGCAAAAATTAAATTTGACCGGCTTTAATTTACCTGCAAAGCACAATCAAAACTAAATGCAGTTAAGAGGACTATTTCTTGCGTGCCACAGGACGGATGGCCATATAAATCTTTGAAATAAAAGAAGTTCTCGTGCATCTCCCTCTGTAGGCATATGAAACATTAGAAATTGGTGGCAACCAAAGGGGTGGGAAGGCCCAGCAAAGCTTTCCAAGGAGCCGAAGCATGCGAGAATTACAGTGAACCTGGTCTAGCCTTCACCCTCCAGGATACGGTGCCCAGAAATGTGTAGTCCAGCAATGCTGGGACTACAGCTCCCAGAATTCCCACCAGGAGATTCCTCCACTGCCATTTCTCCACCACCATCTCCACCAGCCCGTTTGGTCCTGCACTTGCAAAGGGGAGAGCAGCTGTGCCTGGGAAAATCCAGAACCACGGCAGGAGCGACAGCCCTGTCCAAAGCAGGGTTCCTCGGCAACTTTAAGATGGCTGGGGAATTCTGGGAGTTGAAGTCCACATGTCTTAAAGTTGCCAAGGTTGAGAAACGCTGGTCTAAACCACAACAGTGCAAAAGATCACGGCTGGGGAAATGGGGACAAACGGAAAAACTCACCTGGACCGCCAGGAACTCTTCTTCATCTGGCAAAATCCGATAGGTATGGACGTGTTTCTGGAATCTGGGGGACACAGAAAGAAAAAGGTTAAGCATGGCGAAAGCACGAAGTATACCATTTAGAATCAGGCTCCCGTCCTCTGAACGAGTGTTTTTCAACTCCGGCCACTTTAGATGGGTGGACTTCATCTCCCAGAATTCCCCAGACAACAAGCCTACGTATCTTATAGCAAGCCGGCTGGGGAATTCTGGGAGGTGAAGTCCACCCATCTTAAAGTGGCCAAGGGGCAGAAACACTGCTCTAAACAAAGGGAGCCGGAGCTGAACTCTGCTTGCTGCCGCGTCTTCAAAACCCAAGAAAACTGGGGTGGGTCGCCCTCATGTGCGGGTCAGGAACCATGTCCAGAGAAGCCTTCTTCACCTGGGCATGTGCCAGGTGCGTGGGATTATCCCCAACCAGTGGGTGAGGACGCAGGATTGGTAGTCAACATATCTGGAGGTACCAGGCTGGAGAAGGGTGGCTTGCCTTGCCAGGGCGTGCCAGCCAGGGTAGGTGAAGCGTGGAATGCGTCTTCAGCCTCAACAACAACTCTGAGCAGGTTCGGATGAAACTTTGCCCTCAGGAAAGGGAGCATCCAGATCTGGGTGGCACCCCCTTCAGTATATACAAAGCAGGCCTCCCGGCACTGCCCACATTTTTGCAAATAGGAGTCAAATTAGCAACTCCAGGCTCATCCTCCCCCGCCAACGCAGCCAAGGGGATTCTCCCAGCTGTCTCCAAGTGGGGTGGGCACAGAGCAAAGCAGGCGGTCGGGAACTTTTCTGCTAAGTTTGTTCCAAGCCCAAAAAAGCCGCGAGGTTTCAGGGCAGGCGAGAGAAGACGGGCAGGAGCCAGATAGGTTCAGCTGCGACCCAAACAAAAGCTTAGGCGGCAGGGAGGGACGGTGCAATCACGCACCGTTCCTCCAGCCAGCAGGGACGGGTGAGGCCAGCCTGCCGCCCCACGTAACAGCACAGGTGCTGCTACGAGAGGGCACAGGCTGGCATTCCTGGCGGGGAGGCAGCTCCCGTTGTGCCCTGGCAGAGCTCAGAGGAGGCTGGCCAGAGACACCACGAGAGTCCTCAGAGGGTGGTGGCTGCGTCCTGCCCAGAGACGCTTGCCGCCTGCAGCAGGCCACGTCTTCTCACAGAAAGGGAAGGGCCCCGCTGCGGAGCACGGGCTCCCTGGCTGGGCAAAGGCTCGCCCGGCTGGACGGCATGCAGCGAGAGGGCCCCCCCTCGGCCACTTCCTTCTCTTCTCAGCCCCCAGACTTGCAGCCTGCGGCGCAGTGGGATCGAGCAGCCTGAAACACCAAGGGGGGCCCTGCTTTTCCCAGATGGGGCCCGCGGCCCCTGACAATCCCGCCAAGACCGCCTGCGGAAGGGTAGGCAGGGCCCCGCAAAGATAATGCCAATTTCATTGCGTTTCAATTACTGTAATTAAATCTAGTTAATACATTCACATGCTACGATTTTATGACAGCCCAAATGAACACCCCCCACCCAGCACTATGAGCAACAGGGCCGCCTGCAACAACCTGAACCTTTTTGCTGAAGCCCAACACCTTTGGGGTTATTTCCCCCCAGACATTTTGTGGCCAGGGTGGGTAAGGTCCTCAGGGCAGGGGAGAGCGGGGTTGGCTGGCTGTTGATCTTCCTGCAGCCAAGAAGAAACCGGGTCAAGGAACCATCCAGGCAGAAACCACCAAGACTGGCCGGGTGAGCGACTAGATACGAACTGCCAGCCAAGCCCACTCCCCCGTCCTGAGGACGCTACCCAGCCTGGTAGCGAAATGTCTGCAAGCAAACCAGAGAACATCAAGGGCTCAGCAGTTCAACCCGAGTTACAGATACCCCTTCTCCTAATCTTAGCAGCAGGTCCTCTGCTGTCGTAAGAGAGGCAAAGGAGGCGGAGGGGTCGCGGTGGTCCCCATTCCAGCAAATGGAGGAGAGGAAAAGGAGGGGTTGCAAGCATCCGCTGGACCCCCGTTCTGATTCCCCCTCTGGCTAGAAGACTTTCTTTCTTCCTGGCAGCCCCCCAAATGATTCCAAGCTCCCCACTTCCCCGGTTGGTCTCTCCAAGGGCCAAGCTCCCCACCCCCCAGGATCCCCCCGCAAGGTCAGGAGGAAAAAGAGCCTTCTAGGTTTCTGAGATACCAGACGTGACTCAACAAGGAGGGACTCTGAGTCAGCAGCGGCAAAAGGAAAAAGTTCTCGGATGCCCCTTGAATGTCTTCGCCGGCACGTCCCCAGCTTACCCCTGCTGGTGGATTTCATTTATTTTTTATTTATATCCATTGGCATGGCTGCCCGCCTCACCAGTGGAACTCTGGGTGGCTAACCAGAATTAAAGTACAACTTGGTGCCCTCCAGATGTGCAGAACCCAAGGATCCCATGGCCTCTGGCCAGGCTGGTGGGGAGGATGGCCCTTGAACAGATCTGGAGGAGACCCGTTGGGGAAGGGACTGCAGGCACTACCCAGACTTAGACAACCTTTCCCAGGACTCGATTCAGCAGCACTTGACTAGGCTCTAGGCTCACACTCAGCTCAAGGCCCCCCACAGACAACTCCCCCCCCCCCAGAAGAATCTTTCATACACACAAGCAGCAGCCAGTCTGAACGGGACGGCGCAATTCCTTCTTTATTGCCATGGTCTCTTTCCAGTGCTCCTTTCTCCCAACCTTGGAGCTGGGAGGCCATGGGTGGTTGACCGCACTGACATCTCTGTCCTGAGAAACGCTGGCTCTCGGCTGAGCTCCCATCCGGGGCTGCTCTGAGCCATGTGCCTCCCTGCTGCCACAAAGCCAGAGATGAGGACGGGAACCCCCAGAGGGACCTTGTTCGGGGCTCCTCCAACGCTCCGGAAGGCCTCTCGAAACACCATTTTGTTCTGCTTCTTTTTACCCTCTCTGCACCGTCACATCTGAGGAACCTCGTAACTGCAGTCTCATGATGTTTTTCCAATTGGCCTGAGAGACCAAAAGGCACTCTTTTCCTTCTCTTCATGCATTTGTAAGAGGGAGATACGCAACTCCGCTTTCCACGTTCTGTTCTGGATCAGAATTTCGAGAGGCGCATTGCAGAGCAACAAAGGCTTGCTTCCTGGGGACGCTGAGGACTAGGCACTTGTTACCCTATCACCCCGCTCTATAGACTGCCTGCCTTCCCTCGTCACCTCTCCAAGCTCAGAGGCAACGGAGCCATGTCTATCTCACCTTCTGACCCAAGAATGCCAGACCCAAACTCCCGCCTGCAAGTCTTTGCCCCGAGTTGCATGGCGGTAGCCAGGAGCCCTTTTCCTTTCCCCGGGAACCACGGAAGGACGCCCAAGTGCTTGAACCAGGGCGACTGCCCCCCAAGGGCTTTGTGACCCTCTGCCACCCTCCATCTGTGAAGCACAACCCGGCTGATGCCAGCCTTGTGCCCCCCTGAGGACCCTCAGTCCTGGGTCTTTGGTTACCGAGCACCCAAGGGCGTAATCCCCGGCAGACAGCGCCGTGCCAGGGACAGCCCGGCCAAGCAGCTGAAGACCAGGCAGACAAAGCCCCATTGTGCTGACCGCGCTGACCCCAGCCGGCTGCCGACTTCAAGGAGGCCAAACTGTCTGTTCTGCCCCCTTCTTTCCCCTGCAAGCCCAAACATGGGGAGCCAGGAGGAGAATGCGCCTCGGGCACGCGCCAAGGAGGCCAAACTGGCCCCTCCCCTCCCTCTTTCCCAGGGCGACTGGAGGGGGGGCAAGGCCACAGCCCATCCCTGTAGGGAAGGGGTGCCCCGAAGGGGATCCCTGGGGTGAGCTGCTTCCTTGGGATTCCTGGGGCCAGCTTTGTCCTTCGAGGCAATGGCTGGATCAGAGCAGGGACCCAAGGTGCTCTTTTCAGTAGGTGCCCCAGCCATCTTCTCCACCCCTGCTCAGGGGGAGAGAGGCCCTGCCTGCCGAGCCCCCTCCCCAGCGGCAGTGAAAAACAATCCCCTCCGGTCTTCAGGGTTACTGCCTCTTGGAGAAAGGCAATTAAATGGCCAATGGAGGGGCCCCGAAGGTCCCTCCGTCGGGCAGAAGAGCCCTTGTGGATGGCTTCTCCAAACCCTCCTCAAAATTGAGAAAGCATTTTCCATGCGTTCCAGCCCCGCAGCTCTGGGACGAGGGTTAAAGCGAAGCAGGGCACCTCGAGGGCTGGAAGAGGGAGGGGCATTTTGGTTTACAGGGTGGCGGCTGCAGCCAAGGGGAGAAACGCCCGCCACCACCTGGGACCGGGACCCTCAGAGGCAGCGGGCTGCCCAGTATCACCGAGCTGAAAGGTCCCTCTGAGGTCATCTAGTCCGGCTCCTGCTCCATGGAGGATCTGCAGAAGCATTTCGGACCAGCGACAGTCCCAAGGACCTGCCCCCCCCCTTCTCAGCCTCTAAAATGGGAGGGCCTGGAGTTTAGCAGCTCACCCTTGGTGCAATTACTCCAAAGCACTACCTCACCCATGGGCCACAGCCACAGATCCTAGCTGCGTTTGCCCTTCAAGTGCACGACCCACCTTCTGCAGGAAGGGAAGGACATGCAGGAAGGGGCATCCTGGCGGCCAAGCACCCCCGCCCCATCCCAGCTCCCTCCTGACTGCCAGCCTCTACCACCCCTGGCAGCACAGCCCGTCCCAGGCTGACCTGGGCTGCCACATACCCAGGACCCGTTGCCAGCCAACAACAGCCAGGGGGTGAAATACCCAAGGTGCCCGACTCAGGGAGACCCACCCGCAGCCAGTCCCTGAAGTGCTTTGGGCCAGTCCCCCTCTCTCTGCCCAGCCCACTCTGTAAGGTTGTTGGGGGGCAATGAGGGGAAGCTGCAGTGTTCCAGATGCCACCTGGAGCTGCGTAAGGGCGCCGGCAACGAAGCGCCCCCCTCTGCGTGGGCCTTGCAAAGGGTTAATGCCCGGGCGTGAGAGAGCCCTTCTCTTCCTGCAGCAGCCCGGATTATTTATAGCTCGGGTGACTTGCTTCCCCATCTGCGCTGGAGGCTCAGTGCCACCGTTGCGTCAGGCGTCAACACAGCCTGTGACTCAGGGAAAAGCACACAGCGGAGAGGCCGGGGGGGGGTCCCTGTGGGGGGGGAGAGGGGGCAGCCTATCTTTAGGCAGCAG